CTCAGGCCTTCACGAGTCGAGCCAAAGACCCATGTAAGACCCCAGGTTCGTTTATCACCCCTACCAATATCACTGTCTCTAAAAACACCTCTATATTAACATACTTCAAATATTAAGGAATATAGACCTAACTCAGCTACTCAATAACTCATTTAGTACAAGAAAGAATAGGTACACTTTTATTAATTTTTTATTTAAAAAATTCAGATAATATTAACAACAAATAAATAGATAAAATAAATACATTTAATTAATCGGATTACTTTTTTTTAACTTTAGTAAACGATGCAACAAATTTTTGAGTGTATGGGATACCGAAAATATTTTCGGTGTATACATAGCCTATGTACATGTGGGGAATTATAGAATAACCTCAAGAATCTTCCCATAGCCAGATTCGATTATGAATTTAGACAAAATATGTAATAATCAAAGAAATTTAGTTATAAAAAAGAAATATAATGTACCCCTGGAACAACATTTTGATTCTAAGTACGTGTTTATGCAGCCCTATTTTTCTTCTCCTTCCTCCTCTCTTCCTGTCTCTCTCTCATCTCCCCCAGCTACCACACATCTCTTAATAGTTAATTCTACTTCTACCGGTAAATATTGGCATTGTGTTATATGTGAGATCAAATGTTACCAAAGAATTTCCCGCTCAAGTTGTGTCACGATTGTCTACAACCTCCACCGTCACCCAAAACCCCCCATCAGTCCCCTTCACCGTTATCCACACTTGTTATGATTGAGTTTATATTTTTTTACCAAAGCCCAATTGAACTCAGTGTATGACAAGAGCCTAAGAAGCCTGGAGCCCAAGAAGCTTAGGATTAGAACTTTTTTCCTGACAGATTTGAGACGAATTGAAATCCTAAAGTGCCCCCACACTCCTCCCTCTCCCCTTGAGAATACTCTGGAAGATACTACCATACTCCTGAAGTCAATTTCAGAGACTTGATCATGTTGTAACGCGAAGGAGACTTCATCGTGCATTGACACGAAAGAGACTTGATCACCACATAGGCACAACAAGGGGATGCCTCGTGAGCCTGCGCTATAAGAGGTATGTTCTTTGTTGTAACACCCCGTAGTACTTCGGTTTTTAACGTTATGATATTATAGCGTACACAGCGGAAGATTTTATTGAATGATTAATAAAACGTCTTGTAAAAAATACGAGTAAACTTTTTCCAAAGTATTTTCTGAAAATATTTCCAAAAGCGTTCGCATGATATATTACATTAGCATAATTTAACATCGTAATCTACTAACTAAGTCCCATTGGCCATTACTAGTGGCCATTGACGAACCAGATATGACAACAAGTGTTGTTCCTGAAGGAGTCTTGCGGACAACATAACGGCTGTTTATTGGACAATTGGGGATATCAATCCCACACATAATCAAACCTGATAAATACAGTTAAATAAACAGACAACTTGCTAGTCCTGCACGGACTGCGATCCCCTCACAGGGTCAATGCATACATAATGGCTCTGTACCCAAATTAATACAGCTATACATCATGTCTATATGTCATCATCACATGCATCTAACATAACTCACAATAAATACATTCATTATCCAGAAGCTCAAATAATAACAATCATGAGCATTATTACATACAGCAATATAGTCTCAAAATAATCTAACTAGGCATGTCAAAACACTACACATGCCATATAACAAAATAAAAGCGTAACATAAACAGCAGCATCAATCCACTAATCCGTAGCTCGACCCTTGCCCCTAGAAGGCTCACCGCTACTAGGGGTGTTCATCAACCGATCTAAATCGATTCAAACCTAGGTGATCGAACCGAAAAATTGAAAATTGAAAATCGAAAAATCAAAAATAAAATAAAAATCACAAGATTTTATTGAATGATTAATAAAACGTCTTGTAAAATAGGCCAGCCTACAAGGCTATAGGCCGGGCTTGACAAAATTGGCCTATGGCCTATTTATTAAAAAAACTTTTTTATAAGCCTAAGCCTACTCTACTTTTCTGAAAAGCCAGGCCTGCGCTGGGCTCAATGTAGGCCGGGCTGGGCCAGCCTGGCCCATTTACACCCCTAGTAAATGGTATATGGATCCTTTCATGTTAAAAATAAATGATATGGACAGATGGAGAATCATAACCTTACAAATGTGAATCAATGGTAATAAAGGAAGTGAGAAAAAAATATTGAAATAGGTAGTTACAAAATCATAACCGTTGATTCACCTTTGTATTGTTGTGATTTTCCCACATGACCATGTTATTTTTTTTTTACATGAGAGGATCTATTTTCGTGCATAGAGGCAACGAAGCAAGTAGGAGTGTAAATGAGCTGAGTCGAGCCAAGTTTTAGCTTAAACAAGCCAAGCCTATGAAAAATATTTTGAGCTTGACTTGGCTCATTAGCTTGGTACAAGCTAAATTCTATACTTGGTTTGGTTTGTTTATAAACATTTAAAGGCTTAGCTTGACTTATTTATAATTATAAAATGTATTTTTTTAAACTCACATACGTTCAAATCTTGAAACTATAAATGCATCAAATTATGTATTCCTTCGTCCGAGAAAAAACAACCATAGAACCCACTTAGTCCACATATATTTTAAGATCAAATAATGAGTTTCACAATTTCTTCTTAAACATTAATCCATTCATGAAATAGAAAATGTGGGGGAATAATATTTTAAAAAAAGTATGTAATATACATTAACCTTTAAAATTTTTCAGCGATAACAATTTGTAATACTAAAAAAAATAACAATTAGTATGACCTTTATTAAAATAACAATCAAACCCGACAAACAAATGGATCTCATCTCATGTCACCATCATTCCCATCCTCAAATTGAAACAAAAAGGTTAACAATTAATATCCACACACAACACCTACCCAAAGATAAAAAATTATGTTATCAAAAAAAAAAAAAAGATTAAAAAAATTACCTATTAGCACTACTATCAGACCTCATTCTACTCCAGGAAAACTTAGCACTTTCCTAAAGTCCATAACACCTCCATATGAGCAATTTGATATAAAAAATAAGGTTAATAATTTAGTAACATAAAAATATATTATTTGTTATAATAATGTATCGGGTCAGCTCACGAGCTTTCAAGCTAAGCCTCATTAAATTAGGCTTGGACTTGTTTGCTAAACAAATTTTTTTAAAGTTTGAGCCCGTTCTATTTATTAAACAAGTCAGGCCAAACCAAGCTTAACAAGTCAAGTCTTGAACCCTTGATAAGCCGCTCGACTCATTTACACCTCTAGAAGAACAAGCTCTTCGGATGAATATGTCTATATTGTATATATATTAATTAATATATATGTAATATAAATAGAGCCTAAGTACCTTTATCATTATTGTTCAAAAATATATAGAGAGTAAAAATACAAATTTTAATCTCCGTGACCCCTCCTTGAAATCCTAAGTATTACGTCATGTCGATATGTCCTGCATAGAAATTGTATTTATATTAATACGTACACACACATATAATATAAATAATGTCTAATTATTATTAGTGGTAACTTAATTACCGTTCTTAGTCAATAATACAAAAAGTGAGAGTATAAATTGCTTCAAATCCCAAAATCTATAAGTGAGAGTATAACTTCATAAGGATATGTCCTGCATAGAAATTGTATTTATTAATATACACGTAATATAAATATTGCCTAATTATTAGCAAGTAACTTAAGTAATATACTTCAAGAATAAAAGGTGAGAGTATAAATAGCAATTTTAATCTTTATCATACCTCCTTCGAATAAAAAAATCTATAAGTTAGAGTATAAATAGCAATTCTAACCTCTATTAACCTTCCTTCGAAACAAAGACATCTAGTGTGTGAGATTAGCTTGATAACCAACTACATGACCCAGACTTCGATGGCAAATTAATTGATCGCATTTATTTTTACCTTGATTTAAACCAAGTGCCAAAATTAGATTATCAATGAAGTGTGTAGTTGTTAGTTAATTTAAGGCATGTTTGGTCCATAGTATAGGATAATGACTGATAGTATAAGACCTGATAGTATAAGACCTGATTGTATAAGACCTAATTAAATTTTAATACTATCCAGCGTTTGGCATGATATTGTATAAAATAATATATTGTATAAGATAATATCATCTAGTATTTGATAATGCACTGTATAATACTATATAGGATAAAAATAATTATTTTTAATAAAAATATATTTTAATAAAGAATTTATATAATTCTTCAAAAAATATCATATGATATTAATTTTTATAAAAATCTATTGATCAGTGTGTCTAAAAAATAAATTAATTTTTATAAAAATAAAAATATTCAATATTTTAAAATTTAATATATTGAAAAATTAATTTTTATTTTAATATATTAATATTAAAATAATATATTAATTTTAGAGAATTGCACTGGTCAACGGTTTTAATACACTAATCCCTTATCAGGCCTAATCCCTCCCCTTTAGGCCGAATTAAGTTATACATCATTTTAATGTATTAAAAAATTCTGACGTATAATATACGATGTCACACCAAACAACTGAAAATGTTATAACGTATAGTATAAGTTTATACTATCAAGCCTTATACGTCACATGAAATATGGGATGCTGGAGCAATCAAAGATGTAAAAAAGAAAAAAGAAACAGACTGAATTGCTATGTATTTATTGAAACAAGATTAAAGGGTTAGGTTTAATCTACCACTTGCCTTCACACTGTTGCACAAAGCCCTGCTGAATGTGGCATTTTTCCAACAATAATTGATGATATTGCATACTAAAAATATTGCAAATATATTATATACATATACTCCCATTTAAAATTGAATTTCTAGCAGGCTATCCAATTAAAATAATGTAATTAAATTATTCAATAATTTGATTTCTTGACACATAAACTGATCATATATGAATAGTTACCCTCAAGTGTTCAATTTTTGAACTTCGCCTAAAGAATGGTTGATACTTGAAGATGTATTGGAAGCAACACTTGTTACGATCTTCTTGTCATACTCTCTTTGGTTGCATGCGAAAGATCTGGCAATGTGGACTGATTCACATTGAGCAGAGCTTTTTGGGGACACTATCTCACTCCCTGCCTTCATTCTTTCGTTTCTCTTACCCCACAATAACATGTACAATCCGCACACAATCAACACTGCTCCTGTTATACTGCACAGTCCATACACAATCCATAATAATAAGGCATTGACACTTGAAACTGGAAACTTTTCAAGTGTTCATAATTTGCAAAGCTAATTTAGTTGCTGAATTCACCTTCCAATGTGAATAGTCTCATCTAGTACCAATGAACCCGCCAGGGTCACTAGCACAAGCATTAGCGGACTAAAAGCAGAAGCAAACAAAGGTCCCCTCCTACTCACACACCATGCTATTAGGGTATAACACACCCCAGAGGCCAAGATACCCTGCAAAACAAAAATAGACCCTCCAATTATGTCTTTTAACTTTATATATGTAAAGAACCACATCAACCCAAAACCTTAAGTGTTAGGTGAGTGCTTTTTTAATGGTTTATATTATTCTCTAACACACTCCCTCACACAAGAGCCCTTTGAGCTTGAAGCGTGGATATTGCACAGGCCCAATGTTTTTTGGTTTTACCTTGGGCTTATTTTAATTCCACTCGAAAATGAGGCGGTGAAGATCGAACTCGTGACCTTGTGATCACTGAAGCTCTGATATTATGTAAAGAACCACTTCAACCCAAAACCTTAAAATGTTAGATGAGAGTTTTTTTAATAATTTATATTATTCTCTAACAATATAAACAAGATATAGATTTGCATGTGTTGCTCATATGGCAATGGTGTAGTCTGTAGAAAGCATAAAAAACAAGCATTTACCGAGCTAGCTGCTGCTAGAAGCCTCAAGTTCCAGTCAAGTTTCCATTGGCTCCAATCTCTCTCCGTACAAAGAGCAAATATAACGGATTGGATTGAGCTGCTTGTACAGGTTAAAGCAGCAATTGAATAGTGCCATGGAAACTTCTCACTCATCTTTGTCTGTGCTTATACATATTCAATATGTTACAAAGATTAAATTAAAGAGACTTGGTTCATGCTCAAAGTTGGCTATATACTTAAAATTGTTATAATAAACTTGTGGACTTCAAAAAATTGTAAACTTGGAACAGATTCATTCAAGTATGCAGAGAAATTACTATGTGGAACCTTAAGTTTGTAGTAGTATAGTACTATGTCCATGACCATGAGATTGTAATACATTTTTTTTTAAAAAAAATTAACAAAAGAGTTGTTGAAGGCTATTATGAATAACCTGAATTATCAACCACAATGAGTAACTCAGAGAAGTGCCCAGAGCTAGCATGCAGCCCCATAAGCCAGAACCAGTAGCTCCACCATGAGGTGATGCCGCATGTTGCACTAAGTCAATGTGTGTTGACCAGAAGGATATCCTTTTGCCTTTGTAGAAAGTGAAGATCATTGCTCCACCAATTCCAGTTATAGTACCCAGCAACTTGGCTTTCCCATCTGTTGTTCCAAGATTTGGCTTCTCCAGCCTGCAAAAAGCAGGGAAGGGAACCAAATCCCCACCTTTGGATCAAATGGTATTCAATATCAATAGTGGCGATTCAATGATCTGATACAAGGTTATGGAGCCTACCCAAGAGAAACAGCCATGATGTAGGTAACAGCGGGGATGAGGTTCAACATGGTTGTAGCATATGTTGCAGATACCAAGGCCAAAGCTTTAACATAGAGGTTTTGTAGTAAGGATCCCCTGAAAATTTTGAAATTCTTATCTCACACTTCTTGTGTAAATTGACTGTCATAAAATCAATTAGGGCATTAGAAATTTTACCCAAACAACCCACAAAAAAAAGCATAGAGTAGAACTTTCCCAGTAAGTTGTTGCAGGCTTTTCCTGATCAAACATGCCAATGAAAATTGCAGTTATAATAAGCTCTCATAATTGGAATAAAATAGTAGAAAATTCAAAATTTCTCAAAATTGCAGACTTTCACATTTTGTTTTAATTTTGTGTCTAATGTGTGCCTTAGTTTGACTACATGAAATTATGTTATGTACATAGGAAAGGTAATTGAGGGCAAGCCTGAAACAGTAGTAAAATTGTTTCTATGTAATTGAAAGATCACGAATTTGAATATGAAAATAGTATTTTTGCAAATGTGTATGAGTAAGGCTATGTATAAGGATTGCCGTTATTCCTACCCTAGCTAGCTGGGGTTTAATGAGTGAATTTTACCCTGTGTCTTTGTTTCCTAGCTCTATAATGCTAAGCTTATTCAAAAGAGGGATATGTACCTTTCAAAGATGAGAGCAAAGGGAATAATGAAGCCAGCAGCAAAGATGAAGCGGTAAGCAATAAGAACACTTAAGCTCATTCCATCATTTGCTACGATCTTTAACAAGATATTCACTGCTGCATATAAACACTGGACCACTATCATTAACAGTACAGGCTTCACACCACCTATGGCTTCAACTTTGTATAAATTAACCATATTTGACCCCCTATGACTAAAACACAATCCTAGCTGATTTTCCAAGTTCAAATGTTTTAAGAGACTGGATGGAGTAGCTAGCATGAAGAAGAACAAAAGCAACAACTTCAGATCCCCATTAAGTTTTGACTGTATTCATTAAACTTTGGCTTGAGTTATTGGAAATGAAATGGGCTATAGGTTCATGAATTCTTTTTGTGCGACTTATACAGATAACAATTCAAGGAAGATATTGTTGAAGGAAGAGATGGTTTTGGGTCCCTTTGCTATATCAAGCAGACATGAAGTTTAGCACTGATGAGGAGACAAAATTGGCTTCAAGTTTGTGCAAGCGTTAATGTTTTTTTTTTATATATATATATATTTATTTTTCCTCAAGCTTACGAAACTAGGTTGCCTGTTTGTAAGTTTCAAAAGGTTCTCTGAGAGGAGTTGTTGACTTAGCTAGCATTCTCAGTATGAATGATGGAGCTTAGTTTCCATGAAGTTGACATATAGTACCCTTATGAGTATGTTATTCAACGAGAGTTTTCAAGCGTGTCTATTGGTTGTTGATTTTATAAAAGTGTTTAAAAGTCAAGCCAACAAAATACTTCAGGGCAGAACCGGAATTTAATTTTAGTCGGAGCTAAAAATTTTGACATATTAAATTATCAAAATATTTATCTTAATTACACAAATTTATTATGAAAATCTTTTACCATGAATTCTAGCACACTTATTTAAGTTATTTACTAAATAATCTCACATGACATTGAAAATTCAAATAAATAATACCTAATGATTATATATCAAAGCAAACATATAAAAATGAACTAACATTTCCCGTAAACATTCAAACAAAAGAATCTTATTTTCCTCCCACAACATAAGATGCAACGAACCAAGCATTGTCCTAAGGATATGAATACACATATATATAATAATTATATGTATAATAACATTTAATAAATAATTTAAAATATAATAAAAAAGTTACATACCTAAAATTATAAACGACGCTCTTTTAAAATGACGAAATCTTCAAGGATAGAATCTATAGTAAAAGTTTCAGCAATCTCTCTTTCAATATACACAACAAAATTATTTGCAAGAAAGTCATCATCCTTTTTGAATAAAATTGATGGCACACAACAAATAAACATATCATATTTAGACACGATGGTTGATGAAACCCAAACAATAATATAATAAAATAAAATATTTTCTGTGCATAGAAACCCAATTATTTAATCAACAGAAGGAAAGAGGGAGAAAAGATTATATGTTAAAAATTATTTACACTCATACCATGATCCTTCTGTATTCTAATTTTTAGCCACATTTTCCCCTTGTTTATCCTTCCTTTACTCGAGTCTTATTAAAATAGCCTTTCAAATTCTCGATCAAAGAATCAATATTCAACCAACTAGATAACAAAAACAAATAAAAAATCAAAACTTTAGTAAATATTTGCACAAACAAATGAAAGGGGTTAAGGAGAGTACCCACAATAGTGATTGTTGGTGGCGTTCACAACGAATGCGTGAAGAAGACACAACGTTAAAAAAAAGAAAGACTTGAAAAACCTTTTAAGAATGGACCTTAAACGATTCTTTCCTTTCTTTCGCTAATGGTCTTTGTAGCAAGAATTGTTGCACAGTGTACCGTGGGCGGTTAAAATATACGTTTCCAATCTGTAAAGGGCCATGTATTGTAGGTTGTTACATATACGTTTTCAATCATTAAAAGGTTCATAATAATCCATCTTCAATATATTTTTTTGTTTTGTTTTCCAAGGTATCCTCAAGCCGACAGTCGAAGACTAATCCTTTCGAGGTGGGAAATCACATTAAGTGGATAAATCTTCCCAACAAAGCCTTTTCCATACACATGGCCAGGGATTGAACCCCTGTCAGCATACTTAAGGAATCTAGTTATCTACCAACTGTACTAGGCTTTGTTAGTATATACTTTTAGATAAGGCCAAGACTCCACCTAGCTAGGGCCAAGGTCCATAATAATCCATCTTCCATAATAATTTATCTATAATAAGTAATTTTTTTTTTAAAATTTAGCTAGGGTCTAGGCCCTACCTACTACTAAGGTGGCTACGCCACTGTATAACTTACCCTTAATACCAAACACAAAACAATCATATGGATATTAAAATATTGTCACCATATTGGAAATTTCTCATTCTACACTGCCCGTGAAATGTGGGGTTTCTTTCTTGGGCTTGTTGTAATGGGTTCCAAAAGAGTTAATTGATTTTAATTTTTAAAAAATAATCATGAGAATATGAATTATATATATATAGGTCTTATTAGTTCTTAAGCTGCCGGAGATAAAGTAATCTTCGGCTACTAAATTATAACCATATAAAGATAGATAAATGGTGATAAAAGAAGAGAGAAAAAAAATGAATCATAACCATTTTGAATCAATTAATATAAGAAAATAAATAAACAAAAAGACGTAGTTTTGGAGTGGTCGGAGATAAACTTATCTCATGTTGCCGGAGAAATGTTTCTCCCATATATATATATATATTATGTATTTTTATTATCATTAGGGAATATTATTTCTCATGTTGCATGACACAATTTTTATCTCATGCAATATGCAAAAAATGAATTGGATTCACTTATTTTCTTTCTCTTTCTTCTTCTTAGTAAGTCCCACCTACTTGTTCGTGTATTGCATAGGACAATTGTAAAAGAAAACAATATTCCTAAATCATTATATTCAGTTATCATTATATTTGTAAAAGAAAACAATAAAGATAATTACCAAAAACAAATATACAGAATAATGATACTTCTAGTTCTGAACATAACATTTCCTAAATAACAAACAACAAGTGGAATCTAATGTAGAATAATAGTATATCTTTTTGAATAATACTTCATACATATTTTATGTTTTAATGATCTCATATAAAGTGTATAGACAGCACCCAACAACAAAATACACCATCAATCAATTACAGAAAAATTAAATACCCAACATCATCCATACTCAAAAACCATCATGCACACGTACAGTTGTTGGAATGTATTATTCCTTAATATATTCTTGGTGGTTGAGCATGTATTGCATTTATCAATGCATGATTTAATGTCTGAGTAATTATCCCAATAAATACTACCTACCTCATTATTCAAGAAGATTCTAGAAGAAGGTGAATGTTTCACCTCACTTATATAAGAATCATTTTTTCTAGTTTAGATTGTGAATGTATTCTTATGAAGAGAAATTTGAGTTAGTGACTTTTTCATAGAAGAACTTTGAGTACCACCGTTGTCGGTGAATTTAGAGAGTGTACCTCTAATGTTACTAGGAAAGCTTGAACCTTTGTAACCCATTATTATTATAATAGAAGATTTTGCTGGATTAGGACCCGTGGTTTTTACTCCTCTGCATTATGGGAGGTTTTGCATGTTAAAAATTACTATGCATTTTCTCTCTTTCTCTCTGTAAGAATCCAAACTGATAAATTTTGATTTTAGAAAAATAATTTACTATTAAAAAGAGATTAATTAGATAGAAAATCTAATTAATTAAATTAAATCACTTTTAGTGTAAAAGTGGGAATACTGTGTATTTTGGGATGAAAACACATGTAAGCAAGATTACTTGGAAACCTGATACTAAAATTAATGATTAGTTAATTTTAGGAAGTTAAGATGACAGTAAAAATGACGAAGTTAAAAGAGTGTGAAATGAAAGTGAGTCAAATAATTACAGTAAAAGACCCTTACTCACTTAGGTGTTTTATCTTTGATTAAAATAACCTAAAAGCATCATCTTTCTCCTCTCAATCATTCTTTTTCATCTTTCAAAACCGTAAGACAACAACCATGGTCTTCTTCTCTTCTTGTTAGTGTGCTCATCACCAGGCCATTAAAGAAACCATCTTTCTTCCTCCTTTTCTCTAAACTTCACCTTGAGACCGAAGCCTACACACCATTAACCTCTTAGAAGCTTGTCTTGTGGGAAAAAACCAACCTTTGAGGAGCTATTTTTGTGCACCTTGCTGGACAGTGGAAAGGAGTGGAGCTAGAGCTCAGAAAGTCTATTCTTTTAGTGGTTTTGAAGCTTCAAGGTAAAAACTATCATCTTTCTTTAGATTTTCATGATAAACATGATAAATGTCAAAAATTAGGTAAAAGGTTGAGTTTTAAGGTGGTTTATATGTTTGTGATATGAGAAAACATTGATTTGGTGTTGAAATGATCTTGGGAGATGATTGTACAACTCTTTTTGCAAAGAAAAAAATGGAATTCTTCGTTTTTATTAAAAGAAGGGAAAACAGAATCGTAATAATGGTTTTTCTGATTGAACACTGTCTGTATCTCGTTTATATCTTGAATTGTAGACCTTGGATTTGAACATACTTTACAGTTTTCAAAAGCTTAGAAGTATACCTACAACTTTCATGAAGGAGTCGAGATCATATTTGGTGGTTAATGGGTTGTAAATCATGACCAAAGTCCTTGGGGCAGTTCTGTTACGGATTTCGAACCTGCTTAAGCAATTCGGCCATATTTGGAGCTACAGATATTGGTTTGGTCCACTCTCAAGTGTTTTGCAAATCTAAGGCTCTAATCTAAAACTTTTATGCAAAAGTCGAAATCCAATTTTAATTTTTGAGTAGCTTAAATTGGTCGTGAAATTAAGACAATGGTGTTGTCATATTCATTAGGCAGGAACATATTGTAGTAAGATGGGCATAACTTGAGCTAGATAGCTCTAAATTGAGTGAGACTTGAACCTATGTAAAAATAACTCAAAGATATTTAATTCTAGAAAGTTATGGAATTTTTTCCCAGTTTAAATTTAAAGTCGATGCCCTGTTTTTGAAAGCCCGATTTGTAGTAGTCGATTTGCGAAAGACATAAGTTGAATTATACTAATCCAATTGAGACATATAATATATCATTGGAAAGATTGAGATGTATAGTTTACCATAGTAAAATATTAGAATTTATGGTACATAGTTGTAATACCAGTTTTAA